ACACACACACACACACACACACACACACACACACACACACACACACAACCCAAGGTCATGAACCCTGACTTATGAATCCCTAGTAGAAGGTAAGACACTAGTATATGGGGGAGGACCAGGAAACGCCTCTTAAAGGAGCTGGCTCTTGAGGTGTCTTAAAGGAAGCCATGTATTTTACAAGGTGGAGGTTGGGAGCGAGGGAGCATTTCAGGCATGGGGGGATAGTCAGTGAAAAGGCACTGAGATAGGAAATGGAGCATATCGGAGCACTGTTTGTTAGGAAAAGCAATTGATCATTGTTAAGAGTTTTAAATGTCAACTGGAGGATTTTATATTTGATATTAGACATTATAGAGAGCCATTGAAGTCGGTTGAGAGAGGTGAGGGGGAGACATTGTCAGACCTGAGCTTTAGGAAAATCACTTTGACAATTGTGTGGAAAATGGATTGGAGGGGAGAGACTTGACGCAGGGAATTTAATTAAACAGCTGTTACAAAAGTACAGGTGAGAAGTGATGAGGGCCGGAACTAGGGTGGTGGCTTGTTAGTAGACAAAAAAGATGTTTTGAGAAATACTGCAGAGAAATTTCCAGATTTAGCAACTGATAGGATTTATGACGTGAAAGATGACTGGAAGATGACTCTAAGATTTTGAGCACGAGGGACTGGAAGAATGGTGGCGCCTTCAGCAGTCATAGGGAATGCCACTGTTGGAAGGGAAATCAGAGGCCTTCCAGTCCGACTTGTACATCAATAAAGATTTTCTCCGTAATAACATTGACAAATAGTCGTCTAGCCTTTCTTGAAGACTTCAAGTGACAGAGGACCCATTATCTCTTAGGGCGCCCAATTTACTTTTGGATACACTGAATTGTTTAAAAAAATTTTTTTTTTTTTATGGAGCCTTAATTTGCCTTTTTGCAACTTCCACCCCATTGTTCCTAGCTCTGCCCTCAAGGGCCAAGCAAAACAAATCTACTTCTTTCACATGATAGTCCTTTGAACCCATGGAAATATCTTTCATGTCCTCCCCTAAATCTCCACTTCTCTGGGCCACATGTTCCCAATTCCTTCAACAGAACCTCAGAGAAAAGAACTACATTAGCTTATAGCCTGCCATAGCACATTGGTGACGCATATGTAGCTCCCAGTCCATTAAAATCCCCAGATGTTTTTCAGAGGAATTTCTGTATAGCCCTGCTACTTCCTCATCTTGTGCTGATAAAGTTGACTTTTTTGAAGCCTGGTATAAGACTTCACCTTTTATTCCTGCTACATTTCATCTTAATGTTATTGTTGTTGTTGATTCGTTCAGCAGTGTCTGACTCTTCATGACTCCGTGAATCATAGCACACCAATACCGTCCGTGGGGTTTTCTTGGCAAAGATACTGGTTTGCTATTTCCTTCTCCAGTTAAATGACTTGACCAGGGGCACAAAGCTAGTAAGTGTCTGAAGCTGGCTTTGAACTCAGGTCTTCTTGATTCTAGGCCCAGTGCTCTATCCCAGGGGTGAGGAACCTGCAGCTTTGAGGCCACATACAGCCTTTTAGGTCCTTGGGTGTGGCCTTTTGACTGAGTCCAATCCCCATGTATATTGTCTCCCTACATTAAATTCTTCCATAATATATTCTAAATGGGTACATGACCTTAATATTAAAGATAATACTATAAAAATTAGGAGAGAAGCAGATCACATACCAAAGCATAGAGGCAATAACATAAGATAAAATATATACCTTTGGTTAACGTGAAATTAAAAAGTTTCTTTACAAATAAAATCAATATGCCTAGGATAAGAGGGGAAGCAGTCAAATGGAAAAGAGTCTTTGTATCAGAATTTTCTAATAAGGGTTTGGTATCTAAGATATGTAAAAAAAAATTAACACACATATATATGTGTGTGACCAAAAGCTATTACCCAGTACATAAGTGGTCAAAGGATATGAACCATTCTCAAAAGAAGAATTATGAATTGTTAACAACTATATGAAATAATGTTCCAAATGACTAATAATAAAAGAAATGCAAATCAAAACAACCTTGGGACTTCACCTCATATACTGTAAATTGGCAAAGATGACAAAAGATGGGAATAGTGCTGGAGGGGTTGTGGGAAGATAGGCACACTAGTATATTGTTGGTGGAGCCGAGAATCAGTGCTACCATTTGGGAAAACTGTTTGGAATTATGTTTTTTAAAAAAGGGATTAAAAAGTCTATGTCCTTTGACGCAGAAATTTTATTATTAGGTTCATACTCCAAGTGTGCAGAAGTAGGAGATCTAAAAGTATTATACATTTAACATTTTTTTTGGACTTTTTGGATGTGTTGATCAGTTATATTGATTTTTTTCCTCTTTCTTTGTCTTTAAAAATAGTCTGTTATATAGACTAGCTCTCTGGGAGGAGGAGAAGGAAGGATATTAGGGGAAATTAGGGTGATGTAAAAACAAAACAAAACACATCAAAGAACTTATTTTCTTTAAAAAAAAAAAAGATATAGCTCCTTTAACCCAAGGGTTATCTTTGCTTTTGTGTTTGCTTCCCCAGTGCTTAGCAGAGTGCTTGATACACAGTGAGCTCTTAGTAATATTTTTTTATTCATTAATGAATTTAATTCATTAATTAACCCCCTCTTTTTGTTCAGTATCACTCAGAAAAAACACTTTTGTTATTATTCTTATAATTCCTGTTGTTTTTTTTTAGTTTGCTTATTTCCCTATGAATCACTTCATACAAATATTTCCTCATTTCTTTGAATTTTTGATATTCACCATTTCTTACTGCACAACAATATTCCATTCTATTCATTGAGGGAGGCTGAGAACTGGACCTTTGATTTCACTGGTGAAGGGAGCTCCTCATGGAATTGTTGTGAGGATCAAATGAAATACTATTTGTAAAGTGGCACGTTGTAAGGGCACAGTCCCTGACACATGTTAGGTTCTTAATAAATGTTTGTTTCTTCCCCCTTACTCCCTCTTCTCTTCTTCCTGGAAAGGAATGTCTTCTACCAATGCCTAGAGCACTGAGAAGCTAAGTGACTTGCCCAGGGTCACACATAACCATGTGTTAGAGGTTGGTCTTCCTGGCTCCAAAATCATCCCTCTCTCCATTCTCACACAGTGCTTCTACTCCATTTCTTCTCTTGGTTCCTGACCTTCTTTTTCCTGGATATTTCCACTCCCCCATCCCTTCTTCTTTTTTTACCCAAGAGGAGTTCCTTTGTATTATCTTAGCGTCTATTGTGTTTATTTACTGAGACAATGAGATTTCACTCCTTAAATATTATTTCATTTAGTCTATTTACTTCTCCCCAATTTTTCACCATTGCTGTCTTTGCCTTCTCAATGTGTCTCAATGTGCAAAGTGTTGTTTTTTTTTAAGTTAATCAAACTATGAACAGCAGGATTCCTCTACCCTGTGTTTGTGGCCTTGTCTATCCCTTTTTGTTGTTGTTTAATCATTTCAGTCATGTTCAACTCTTCATGACCCCATTTTGGTTTTCTTGGACAAAGATACTGGAGTGGTTTGCCATTTCCTTCTCCAGCTCATTTGACAGATAAAGAAATGGAGGCAGACAGGGTTAAATGATCTGCCTAGGGTCACACAGCTAATAAGTTGTCTGAGGCTACATTTGAAGTCTTTCTGACTTAATGCCCTGCATTATATCTACAGTACCACCTAACTGTCCCTTGTCTGTCCCTAACCACTTGAAAATGAACATTTAATTTCTTAGGCTTTTATTACTATCTGAAGTATTTAGCTTTTCTTCTATTTGGGCATTTTGCATATTGAATTACTTACTTCTGTGTTTCAGCATTCACTCATTCTCTTTGATGCCTAGGCTTAGTTCTGCAACATGTGTTATTTTGAGGTGTCAACAAAACTTTGCTTTTTAGAATGTCATATTCCAATTAATCATTTGATTCCTTGTAAACACTATTGTATTTGTCTCCTTGTAAACACTGATTTTTCTTGGAACATGTAAGGTTTTTTTCTTGGTTCCTATGTAATTTATTTGGAATTCTAATTCTGAAGTTTAATTGATATTTCTTGTTGAGTAAAACTTGGGGTTCTTTCTTTTGTTGAGTCTCTCTATCTGTACTTTGCCATCTACTTCCAAAATTTTGGATCATTTTCCTGTATGATTTCTTAAAGTATGGTTTTCTTTAGGACCATATTTTAAGAATATCTTGAAGGACTAAGTCCATTTTTGCACTAATTGACATGCCTGGTCCCCCCAGTATTTAATGATGTTTTTCCTGGAAGACATATACTCCTTAGATTTCCTGGTCGAAGCTTATCTTTGAGTTCAGTATGATGGTTTTATAGAGCTCATGTTTTCTTATAATCTTATTTTTAATTGTTTAATTGTTTTTAAATTGTTAATTGGTGTTTTGTTTTCAATTATTTGTTTTTAATTGTTGTCACGATAACGTTTTTGAAATTGTTTTTGTTATTTTTCTTCTACTTCTGTATTTTCCAATTCCAATGTTCTCATTTTCAGAGAATCTATTATTATCAAGCATGTCTCTGTCTTTTGTTCTATCTAGTCTCTTGTTAGCCTTTTTGAGTTCCTCCCTAGCTTTAATTTCTGCCCCCATTTCTTTATGTGATTCCCACATACTCTCACCAGTTAAATTTTTATTGTTCTCCTTCACCCCATTTTTTGAGGTTCTTGACTTTGCTGTACTCTCATTTCAGAGGACTTTGCAGAATTTATTGCAAATAAATAAATAAATACCTTCCTCATGGGAATTTTGACTCCATTTTCTTTGTTGCAAAATACTTGTTTATTGATATGGCTCCTTTTTTTATTGCTTGTTCATTTCTCCTTCTTTGTCAGCTTTTATCTGTCTTTACCCATCATTCTGTTGATTTATCTATGGTTTCTTTGATATAAACATAATCATTTCCCTCCTGTAAGTGACGGAGAGCTTTTGTTTCTCTCCCTCAGCCCCTGCTTCCTCTTCTATGTTCTTTCATATCACAGGGATTTGACATAATCTGTGGCCTTGAGGGAGTGAGAGTGACCTGTTGGGACACTGATTCAAGGAGACTCCTAGAGGCCGCGTAGATGGAACTATTCTTTACCTTTCTCAGTTTCACTCTCTGAGTCTTTACTCTCTTTTTTGAGATTGACTTTTCATTTCCGGGTTTTACTCTGGGATCAGTTGGATAGGGTTTTGGGAGGATCCCACAGAACAAGGCTAGGAGTGGGAGAGAGAGAGGAGGATCTGACAAGCCTTTGTAATTGGGTCTTTCCTCCTCCAGCTTTCTTTCACCACTTCTGGGGTGTGTAGTTCCGCCTGTATAGTAATAAATCGTTGTAGCCAATGTTGTACTACTGGGCCTCTTCTTCCTCCAGAATTTTGTTCTGAAGACTACATGTTTCTCCAAAGCAACCCCCTTCTTTCCACCTACTCACCTTTCCTTTCTCTAGAACCTTGGAATAGTTCTGAATTACAGTTTTCCAACCCCCCTGGGAATGAGCTCCCTTAGGATCCTGCCAAGGGAGTAATACTGAAAGCCACACCTAAAACTGCAGCTGCCAGAAGGGCCAAAAAGGCCCCTATAGTCTAATGTGATTGTGTCCTGGTGTCAGAGAGGGGTGAAGCTGGGGACAACAGAGGCAGGTGAGAGAGGTGATTTTAAGGCATTTTCCCCATAAGGTTTGACTTGTATCATGCTCTTTCAGTTAATCAACAAGTATTTAACATGTGCTTACTATACGTCAGGCACTGTGCCAAGCAGTAGGAGTATTAAAAAAAAAACAACAGTCCCTGCTTTCAAGGAGTTTGCATTCTAAAGGAGGAAACATGCACAAGATGTATATAAAATAGGTACAAGGTAATCTTAGAGGGAAAGGCACTAGTAACTGGGAGAATGAGTAAAGCCACCTGTAGAAGGTGTCACATGAGCTGAATCTTGAAGAAAGCCAGGGATTCTAAGAGTTGGGAATGAATAAGGAGAACATTCTAGGGATGGGTGACAGCCAATAGAAAGGCATGGAGATGGGAAATAGAGCTTCGTTTGTGAAAACAGCAAATAGAAGAGTATCACTGTACCTTAGAATGCATGGACAATAGAGTAGGAAAACTGGAAAGACAGGAAGGGTACAGGTTGTGAAGAGTTTTAAATGCTAAATAGAATTTTAGCATAAACAGAAGTTTATGTTTGAGTTTAAAGATTTTATTGAGTAGGGTTGACATTTCAACCTTCACTCTGGGAAAATTACTTTGACATTGTTGGGGGAGATGGAGTGGGGAGGGGCTTAAGGTAAGAGTTAGCTGTCATAGTGGATAGTGTGCTGGGTTTGGGGTCAGGGAGACCTAAATTCATATCCTGTCTTAGACACTTACTAGCTATGTGACCCGGGGAAGGTCACTTAACTTCTCTTTGTTTTCTCACCTTTAAAATGAGGGAGCAGGATTTGATGGTATCTACAATCCTTTCCAGCTCTAAATCTATGATCTTAGACTATTAGGAGTCTATTATAATAATTCAGGAGAGAGATGAAGGAGTGAACTAGGGGTAGTGTGTGACTTGTGGAAAGAAGGGACTGTATATGAGAGATATTGTGGAGCTGTGAAAAACAAGATTTGGTAACTATTTGAATATGTTGGGTAAAAAAGAACAAGGAGTCTGGGGTGATATTAAGGTTGTAAACCTCACAGTCTAGAAGGATGATAATGCCCTCAACAGAAATAGGGAATTTGGAAAAGGGGACATGAAAACAGTCTTTGGACATAGTAAGTATGAAACACTTTTGGTTTATACACTTTGAAATGTCCCATAGGCATTTGTAATGCAGGATTGAAGCTCAGGAGAAAGATTGGTGTGTGTGTGTGTGTGTGTGTGTGTGTGGGTGTGGGTGTGTGCATGCATGGGAGCGTGTTTTCAAAGATGGATACAGGCATGTTCGTAAGTAGCAAGGAAGGAACCAGTAGATAGGTGAAGACTGAAGATTGGAGGGGAGATGATAGTGAAGGCAAATCACCTGGGGAAGATAGGAGGGGACATCAAGAATACAAGCAGAAGAATTGACCTTTCAATTTTCTCTTCATGTTGTTGCTATTTTTGCCTCATTTAGGGGCTTCTTTTCTTATTTATTTGGGCTGGTAAGCAGAGAATTTCATCCCAAGATAGCCCTCGCATTGTTTTCCATCTTCTCAGGATTCCCATATACTTGATGTTCCATATAAGCTGATCTAGCTGCAGTTCTCCAAAGTCTATTTCCAGTTTCCATGTCCTTTGCCACACAGACTTTGACACCTGGAAAGTATTCCTTTTTGCTTTCGCCTCTTAGAATTTCTAGTGTCCTTCAAAATTTAACTCAGGTGCCACCTCCAAAGCAAAGCCTTTCATGATCCCCTAAGGTGTAAGTGCTGTATTTAACTTTAAATTACCTTCTCAAATTACCTTCCTCAAATTACCTTCTCTTAAATTACCTTCTCTTACTTTCTTACTGTGAACAATAAATAGTAAAATATAAGATTGTTGATGGCAGGGCCTGGTTCATTTTGTTATTGTATCTTGAATGCTTAGTATAAAGCCTCTTAAGTTGTAGTTGCTAATAAGTATATGTTGAATAAATGTGTGACTTATGTTTTAAGTTCTAGGAATGTAAAATATGAAAATATGAACATTTTATATAGAGGAAATATAAGTAGTCTCTGAGCTAGGGTTTGAGAGTCTCTTCTATAAGTAAGGTGCAGGTGCTCTAAGAGTCATAGGATCTTGTTTTTTAATTTCTTTCCAGGTTACTGGCTGTATTTTGTGATAGCTGAAATTGTCATAAGCAACCCCTGGATAAGTGATGATGACTTTATAAAGGTATGTTGAATAACAGGGGTGAATCAGAAATTATGCTGCTAAATTTTAAGAGAAGAATAGGGTTGATCTTGGAGAGCTTCGTTCCCCAAGGATGTGTGGCCTTCCATTGAAATTAACATAATTTTTCTGAGATGGTGAGATTTAAGAGAGATTTAAATGTTTATAGGATTCTGTGCCTTCTAGTGGTTAAGCCTGGCCCTGAGGTCCTTGGGTAGCCCAAAAGACCTATTCAATGTGGATGGATCCAATTATGTCACTCTCCTGCTTAAAAAAATATCATCCGTAATTCCCTCTTGCCTAGACAGTAAAGTTCAATTACTTTGCCTGTTACTCAAAGTCCTTCACTATTTGACACCATCCTCCCTTTCCCACCTTCTCATATTATTCTCTTCCATTTACTCTGTTGCAGGCCATCTGTACAACTTTCTTTTCCCCATTATACCTGGCACTTTGCTTATGTCATTTGCTATACCTGGAATATCCTTAGTTCCCCCACTTCTCCTGTTGAATCAGACTTTAAAGTCTGATCTTCCCAGTTGGCTCTTTTGTCTCAGACCTCACCAAGCACTTTGTTTTCAGCTCTCTAATGTACTTATCATTCATTCCATCAATCAATCAAACATTTATTAAATGCCTACTATGTGCCAGGCACTGTGTTAAGTGTGGGGTTACAAAAAGAGGCAAAAGACAGTCCCTTTCCTCAAGGAGCTTACAATCAAACGCCATGTTGTATATTATAGTTACCTTGGTTGGTGTTTTATCCTTCAACTAGCTTGCAAGCTCCATGAAAGGCAGGGGCCTTGTCTTTTCAGAACTTTGTATCATCCCCAGTACCTAGTAGGTCCTTAATACCTATTTGTTGAATGAATGAAGAGTAACAAGACAAGCAGCCAGCCACTTCCAGATGCCGTGATAATCATTTGTTGATGGGCATTCAGTGTAGCAATCTACTTCATTTTTCCTTCAAGGGAGACCCTTTAAAAAACAAAGCTTTCCCCATTCATTCTTGGCTGTCCCTGTTGTGTTCACCTGCCCTTCTCTGCCTTGGCTGCTGTGCTATTTATCAGCACTAAGCTATAAACTAAATTGTCACAGCAGGATTCAGGAAACCTGGACTCAGACCCCAGCTCTGTCACAGACAACTTGGGTAACTTTGAGTAGGTCACTTCCCCTCAAAGAGGCCATTGTTTCTGACTGTAAAACGAAAGAGCTGAACTAGATGACTCACAAGTTTCCTCAGTCTCTGACTTTCTGGTTTTGGTGTTTTTGTTTTTTTTTTTTTTTGGTTTGTTTTTTTGCCATGTCATTGAACCCATAAGAGCACCTGCAAATTATTGGATAATTGAGGGTGGAGTGAAGTGGGGGCAAGGGAGTGGCAGTGTGGCATTTTGTATTTTGCATTTTTTCAGTTCTGAAGAGACTTGTTGACCTAAGCAAATATGATTTCCTTGTGGGGGATGGGGGTGAGAGAGGTAGTTAAATATTGTGAAAGCCAGCAATTGTCCCTTGACTCAGTCACAGACCAGGTAACTGAAATGGGCCAGTTTGTTACAGAGTAGCAGGAGGGCTGAGATCTTTTGAAAGAGTTTTGAGAAAGGTCCCTTCAGGCTTTTGCTCCTGGATCCTTTCTTGGATCCTTCTGTGAATTTGAGGCAGAAAAGATTTCAGTTGCTATTTTTACTTCTTTGTGGTTATTTCTTGTAATAACTAACTTGGGGGACATATATACATATATGTATACTGTGTCTATGTGTATACATATTTACGTATACATATATGTTGATATTTATGTCAATCTTTGTTAGGTGCACTCCATCTCTGGCTGGTAATCTGTCAACTCGGTGTTTTAAGGTGTGATCCAGAAATCAGACACCACCTTCTTAGTTAGTTGTTTACTTCTCAAATTAATTTTTCTCTTCTGCATCCTATTCCTTCAGTGGGTGAGAATAACACAGTCTCTACCTTTCCCTGTGGCAGGCCTACACAACCTACAGCCTTCAGGCCACTTGTGACACACCAAAGAATTTTCTCTACATTTTTCGAAGGCTGCCCAAAATTCAAAGGATTTTGAGAAAATTCTTTGGCGTGCTGCAAGTGGCCTGAGGGCTGTAGGTTGTGCAGGCCTGCCCTATGGTCTTTAGTTTCTTGTTCAAGACTTCACAGACATTGGCAAAAATTTTTTAGATTCCTTCTGCAAGGGTAATTTGTGCCCTTGTGAATCGCCAGAAGTAGGTGTATGCCATCTGTTTTTATAAGTGTTGAGAGATTCTGTGTTATATCTTGAATACCTGCCTCAGGAAGACAATAGATATCTCTAATGTTATCAGGTAAACAAGGAAAACACCAACTCCTACTCCTCTTCCCCTTATTGGATGATCTTTTACTTGGTTGCTCTACTTTATCCTTCTTTGGAAGACAGGAAGCTTCTTTTTCCTTAGAGGATCCAACTGTCTTTGAGGAAGTGCCTCAGAGTTGTTCTTAAGCTCTAATTGTACAGGTGTCCTTTTCCTTCTCTTTCTACTTTGTGTGAAACATTTCTATTATCTTTTATCATGACTAGGGCCAAATCTCCTCTCTCCTACCTCAGATTCCCCACTCACCCCCCCCATGAAACCTTGCTTCTGTTTACTTTAGGAGCCCCCTTTTCTCCCTAAAAACCTGGAGCATGGAAAGGTGTTCTTGAAGACCCTTAACTTTCTAGGAGAGAAATCAGCGAATATTGCTAATAATCCCTTGACTCTGGCAGAAATACAAATTTTGCTCACTCAAAGGAAGACATGAGAGTTTCCCTTATTTTCCATAATAGTTGAATTTTTTAGCCTTGTTTCTTGAAACTACTTATAGTTGCTTTTATTGCGACCCTAAATACTTGGCTAATGTTTTGAACAGCCAATTATGACTTCTAAATTACCTGACAAGAGCTACAAATTTATTGCAATATCTCTCAGATTAATTTATCAGTGAGCTCTGAGCCCTCTACTCCAGTTTATTAAAGCAGAGAAACCTCTTTTCCTTTAAGCTTTCAGCCATGTCTCTCTGATGATCAGTAACCCCCTAATTTCTTAGGCTTAAATAGAACATCAAGGTTACTAACTATATAGTGTAACAAACAATAAAAAAACCCCAAAAATGTCTATTCGTGATATATCAACTGTGAGAAACATTATAGCAAGACTACACTTTAACTGTTACTGCTATTCCTGACATCTCTTTAATTCTGGAAATCCTCTCCCACATTCAGCTCTCTCAATATATGAGTTAAAATATTTTCAAGAATTTGCTCCATATTTCTTTACAAGATGTGTTAAACTCAGTCTTCACCCAGAAAATGTCTCTTGAAACTCTTTCATCTTTAAAGTTAAATCTCAGAGTCTTTCAGGAAAGAAGATCTCTTAGTTCTTTCTATCCTCAAACAATCTCTCTGGGGCTATGACAGTTAAAAACACTATTGGATGAGAATTATATTGGCAGCATCCTCACAGACTCCTCACAGATGACCTGTTACTTTGCATGATTCTGAAGGGACATTTGACTGGCCTCAGACAATTACTAGCTGTGTGACCCTGGGCAAGTCACTTAACCCCAATTGCCTAAAATAAATAAAATAAAATGAAGAGACATTTGATAACTGTCTTCAGATATATAATGGATTGTAACATGGAAAAGAGGTTGGACTTCTTGACTTAAAAATACAGAACTAGGAACAATGGGTAGAAGTTGCTAAGAGGTAAATTTAGGCTTAATCTAAGTGGGAAAAATGTATTAATAATTAGAACTATCCCGAAGTGGAATGGGCTACCTTGGGAGTTAGCAAGTGTTCCCTAACTTAAGCTCTTTAAGCAAAAGCTGAATGACTTATTTTTAGTTTATATTGTAGAGAGGACTGTTGTTCAGAGATTGGTTGAACCAGATGCTCTCTGAAGTCCCTTAGTCTCTAATAGCCTCTGTTAGACTCTAACGTTATGTTACATTGATGCCATCAAGTAGGAGGAAATCATATGAAGATAAAGGAGGGGTTGTGGAGTATTAGATAGTTGAGGAGAGTTAGATGCTGACGATACTGAATTTTAGTTGATGATGGAATATCCAAGTGGAAATGTCTATTAGACAGTTGGATATAGAGGTGATAGGTCAATCACTTGTCTTTATTTACCCAACAGTGAAGACACTTCATTTCCAAATCATTTTGTATTTATTTTGCATATATCCTGTATTTACTTATCTATGAACATGTTGCATTCCCCCTCCCAATTGAATGTAAGCACTCCTCAAAGTACACAAGCAGGTGCATTTTTGCATTTCTGTTTCCACCACCTAGAACAGTACCTGGTACACAGTAAATATTTAACAAATGCTTGATGAAACTTCAAGGTCATATGATCAGCATGATGGAGGATTAGACATTTTCTCTGATTCCTCCAAACTCTCCAAACTTCTCCAAAGCAGAAATTTTGAAGGAAAAAAAGGCAACTTCAGCTGTCTCCATGATTTAGGACATCTAAAATCCAGAAGAAAGTTAAAAAAAAAACCAAGAACTGACTTCTATACTGAGCTCACACAGTACTCCTCCACTTTCCATGCCACTGGCAGCAAGGCCACACTTAGCCAACCCAAGGTGTTGACACTTAGTCTTGCAACAAAACCCAAACCTAAACCTAGTTCCCACCTCCCTTTCTCCAGGGCCATGGAGATCCCAGCTCCAGGAGTAAAATTTTTCTTGGACTGCTACTGATGGTCAGTGTTGTGGCAGTGCTCCAGGGGCAGAAGCTTGCGGGGGTGGAGGGGGTGGGGGGAGAAGGATTCTGTGTTATAAAAGATCTCTGCAAGAGAACCAGTAGCAGAAGGAAAGGGTCAGGACACCTTTTTGAGCTTGAAGGAGAGCTCAAAATCTCATCTCACTTCACCCTCCTACCACAGCCTTGGAGACCCAAAATACAGAAATCAACCCCATAGCACCAGGTCAGCAACTACCTGAATTACTGATGTCAGACCAGAATGGT